ACCTGCTAGCCAGCTTTGCAAAGCCCAGTTTGTGAAATAAGCAGTTTACATAACTGCGTATTTTCAGCACTACATACATAAATGCTTCCTCTATCCTGTATAAGGTATTTTTGGATCTGCTAAAATGCTACTGTGTTCTTCCAGGGCTTTGCGTTCTTCGGCTCAGAAATTGCATAATCTGATGCCATAGGAAAGAAGTGATGTTGCATAATGACTCCCATATTCACTGCAGGATTTCGGCACTCCGTGTTTCTGGTGCAGAGCAGCCCTTCTCCGTGTCTCCGAGCGGAGGGTCTCGGGTTTTGAAGAAAGGATAATCTAGCAGCCACCTGCCTTTGGGGGGTAGGGGTAACAAACCATGGGCTGTCTTGTACCATACCCTTCCAAGCATTTCACTTCACAAAAACGGCTTTACCTTTGCATGCCCATTTGCTACGTGTGTTTTCCCTCCCTCTGGTTGTTTGCCCACCTTGAGCTACGTGCACACCCCGAACACAAGTTTCACACGCAACGTTCTGACGGCTAATTGACCATCGATACCCTCCCTCACAGGCTCTTCATACTACTGTAAAACACTCAGCTGGTATAAAAGACAGACTAAACACTGATTAGCCTTTTATACTACTGAATTACTATTGGAATCTGTCTTACATCAAAATTTAGAAATGACCTTAAGTTACGCTCTGCTCTTTCATCTTTGCGGCTGTCTTCATAGTATGAAACAACTTTTAAAACCCAGTCACAGACTCCAGGCTCTGCTCGACTCCTTTTCTCTCCTCCTCCTTCAGAATTCTGCACTTTTTTCTCACATCATTAAAGACCCATGTTATATTACTAAATGGTAATAACAGATTAAAGGATTTAAATTCAAATATTTTACAACTACAAAACCCAGGAAAATCTCAAAGTTAGATTCACAGACGCCTTAACAGCTTCTTTGACGTTGCCACACGAAGCCATTAAAATGTCCCAGTATTACCAACGAATGGTATCTTGTAATTTCCCTCATTCGGAGAACTGAAACATCGTATTTTCCTCCAAGGACCAGTGCTAAGATTAATTAATGTCTGAAGGATCTTTGAGGATGAAGATCAATATCAAAGTGCTATTTTCAGGAATCCAGTGAATGAATCAAACTCTCACTTTAATTCATGTGAAGCATCAAACTGGTCTCAGGTAAACTCACTCACACGCTTGTTCTTATTTTTGTAGTAGACATGAATTATTCAATATTTGCAAAGCGCACTTGACACGTAAAAGCTATACACACAAACTCCTCAGCACTAAGAGCTTACACGCTTCACACCCAGTATTAAAGTAACTAAACAACTATTCAGGAAAGTGCAAAAATTACTGGGGTACGCGCAATGCTTTGGCCTCTACCAACACTGCAGTAGGAGTAATGTTACGCTGGAGTGTGTGCACCTGATGGGAAGGGGAAGGGACGCTCGGCAGATCTCTCAGATGAGAAATGACAGTGGTACTCAGTTGTATTTAGTAAGCACCGTAACACTTCCAGGAGCAAAGAGGATTACTCCTTGACAGAGAAGCGAGCACAATGACTTGCTCAGGAGCCTCGATTAAGGCCATATTACCGACACAGCGCAAGGGGTTAGAGCAACATCTGAGAGGTGTGATCCTATTCTTCGGCTACTAGAGCTTTACGTGATGGTAACGCGATCGAGACAGCACACGCAACTCTCAGTCACGGACCGAAGAACAGTGGAGGAGCCTCCGGGGGCCTGACAGGACACGTGCCATCTAACACCCTGCAGAGACCTTCCAAGGCAGCGCCCAGCCCCTTGGTTCATTCCCACCAGACCACTTTTTGGCTAGGGTTGATAAACCAACGTTTGAGAATCTCCTCAGCCACAAAAGGACGATGAGGTTAGATTTTCTGTGTTTCAGCAGAAGAGTCACAGCTGTACAGCTGCATTTCTGGTTCTGGTGTTCTCCAGAGGGTAGTAACGGAGTAACAGTCTGGGGACAGGAAAGGACAAGTGTCCTAGGAATGAAGAAAATGTCCACACAGAGAGACCTCCATTCCTCAATCCCATTACACTGGAATAAGTCCACCCACACCCCACCAGGACCTCCTCCTTTCTTCCCCTACAGCACCCCTCACGCTGAGCTGGCGACCGCTCCAGGAGAAACAGCACAGTTACGGCTTCACCGGAGGATCATAAACCCCACGTACTTCACACAGGAAAAAAACCACATCTATTCTTCACCCTGGCCTACTCCCAATTGCTGCTAATGCCTTTGAACCCGCTCCAACGGCCGACTTTTCGGTTGGAGTTGTAAACAGGGGAAGAGGAGAGAGGTCAAAACACACGTTGAGTATTTACAGGGGTGGGAGTAAGTGCACACGGTGTTTCTGCTCCCAGCCCACCTCGGTATTTCTGCCGCAGCTGCCAACTGTGCTATTCAATCCACAGCAGCGTGTGTTTTAGGTGAAATATTTACCTCCTCTTCCCCAAGAAGCAAGAGCGATTTGCTGTAAGGTCACAAAACCAGCAGTCTACGAAAGGCTAAAGCCCGTGCATGGGACGGATTTACCAAGGAGGGATTAAAAAAAAGAAAAGTCCCATAAACTGGCTGGGGCTTGCGGAGGTGACAAACCCCTGAGAGCTTCAGCCTCTGCTGCAGATGCAGAGGTAACATTTACCTCAGTTGACTTATTTTGATTCAGTTACGGCTGAGAAACTCGCTGGAAGTTGTAAAAGCGGTAATTCTGCTGCTGTCTTCCTCCAAACACGGGATCTCAGGTGAGAGCTTGGCTAAAACGCTCTATGCGGGGCAAGGCTCGGGCATCTCCCCCTGCCTACCCCGGCCCCAGGGACCGCAGCTGGAGAGAAATCTGCATCAATTTTAACTCTGTTCATATCACCAATGACACACTTCTTTTGTTTTTATGTATGAAAGCTTAAATTAAAGACTGCCATTTTGAGAAGTCCTATTATTTGAAATCCACTCCACACATCTCAGCTGCAGAAAGCCTGGAACAGGTACCAGATACCAACAACTCCAGTCTAAATCAGTCACCATCTCACATTTGCTGTAAAAAAGTCATAAGAAAACAGGAAATACTGTAAAACCTTTTATATCCTGCTTAGAGCAGAACCATATATTAATAACCACCAATTGAAACTGCTTACCTATGAAGAGATTTTCAGATAAATCACTACTCAATTTTCTGATCCACTGGAGATAAGCCACTTACCAACTCTTTACAATCAGGGACAAAAGAGGAAGGTTAGTAATGCAACCAGAAAGAAAAAAAAAAAAACCAACACCCACCCACACATTTTTAACCACAAGTTCAGGTATAGCTGAGAAGCGGTAAGAGTTCCTGCCATATATTCTGTGTTAGAAGTTATTTGCCATTTCCAGGCATAGGGGTGACAATGAATGCCAGCTATAAATTTAACTCTCGGGCAGCAGGGGACAAAGACAAATCTGAATGACAGGGCCATTCGAGATCAAAGAATCAGACTGGAGGCCCCAAATACAGGAAACAAAACTGGTGTTAAAGCAAAAACAAACAAACAAAAAACCCCACTACATCAAAATCATGATTTATTTGTTTTTCGCAGCCGAAGACTGTTACAGAAAGGGAGGTTCAAAGGGTTGTCTCTCTCCAGAAACAAAAACCCGCACACATTTGGGGACACAACAAAAAGGATAGTAACAAAAACTTTTACACCAAGGACAACTTTAACCTCCCCATTCTAAGATATCCCGGGATGTCTATGGCTACACACGCAGCAGTTACTGTGAAACGTGCCCACATTTGCCAGTCTGACCAGCTGAATTTCTCTCATTTCCCTCATCCATGTGGGTTTTATTTCAGATATTTTCATATTTTCTCCCTCAAAATCGCCGATCAAAACACATTCCTTCAGTATCTTCTATTGAAGAGACTGCCTATGGATAAAATCAGTATATCCAAACACATGGGCCTGATGTCATCTTTCTCCAGATCAACTTAAAATACCCAATTTTTCATTTACTTGAGAGACACGTGGCTTGATACGATTAAGCTATTGCAGTACCTAAACCACCTCCCCACAACAAAAATAAAGAGCAGCTCCACTCATTTCATTGGGAGAAAACATGACATCATGCCCCATTCAGGTAAGCAAGAATAGGACAAATCTTGCCCCAGTGAGCAGTATCGTTAACTGCAATGGTACTCCCAGCTTCCTCGTCTATTAGGAAAACGAGGGGTAAAAATCATGCCTTCAGCACGACAGAGACAGCTCAAACTGCTATTTTCAATAATAAAGGAACAAATTCCTGCCCGGCTGATAGAGAGAAAACACACATGTCCTCTTCATCTCAAAAATAAAATTAAATGATTTATTACCATAACACAACAGAAGAATTGTTTGATTAGCCCACAAGGAAAAAAACAATTACAATTGCCTACATGGCAAGAAAAGACAATTCTGCTTCTTTACACGATCTCTAGTAATTGTTATGTCAGTCCTTGTCTATTCCATATATATCCATTCTCCATTGCCATTCCCTTCCCCTTTAAAAGGGGGGCACGAGAAGATAACGTGCAAAATTGCAACTGAAAAATGTCTAGCACACCGACAAGCAAAAGGACAGGCCAGCTATCAGATTTATATGCAGTGATGGATAAATTAAGGTTTCACGTTTCCTTTTCCCTTCTCTCAGCATCATTTTTTCAGCCCTTTCGCATCACAAATGCAACATCCATCTGTCCTTCTGAAATAAATGGCGAAAGGGTAACACTGATCGTTAAACACACACACACACACGCTTCCAAAAAAAAAAAAAAAGACATTTTCATTTAAATACTTACAAGGATTAAGATGTCCTATGTGATGCTCCATTTTCTTGTTTTAAAAAGATGGAAGGCAAAAAAAAAAAAAAAAAAAGGAAGTGTTGCAAAATAAAAGGAAATTCCACCCACACAATCCTGCAGCCTGCTGCAAAGAAGCACAGAAGCGTGCTGACGTCACGGATTCATGAATGGATGTAAATCGGGCTGTTTCGAGATTCGGCGGCGCTGGCTGGGCCCCCAATCGAGCCACCCCGAAACGCCGGGCTCCCCCGCCAGCCGGGAGGGCTGCACGCCTCTGTACTACGTGGGCATGGGGAGGAGGGGGAGAGAGGAGACTGAAAACAATTTGTTGGTAAGTGAAGTGAAGCTGTTGGGTAAAATGGCATCACTGCTGCCATTCCGCGGAGAGGACCGGGCGAGGACATCCTCTAATGACTTCAAGTCATTGCTCCGGCGAGTTTCGGCCCCTCCGCACAGCTTGGGTAACAACAGCGTATCAAATAACGGCCATCTGTTATATTAATCAAACGTATTTAGTAATCAGAAAAGGAGTTTATCATCTCTCCAGCTTCTTTCGGGATTACAAACCCTGGGTATTATTATTAAAATAACTAAATATAAGCATGTACTGGAAGGAAGCTGCAGGGAGAACAATAGGAGGCTTGTATTTGATTAGTGATGCAAAAGCACCAACAAAATAAAAATAGGAGCACTAACAAAATCACGCATTCAGCTCTCAAACGTTCCCAACAGCGGGCAGACAAGCTCACGACGTCAGAAACATTCAAAAACAAAACAAAACAAACAAACAAAAAAAAAAAATCGGAGCACACATAGTTTCACACTTGCAGCTACGTAACGAACGGTGGGTGCGACGTCCGTGTGTCACAGCCCACCACCCATTTTCATTTCGTTTTCAATTCCGTGCCAATGAAAATACTTGATTCCGCATACTGGATGGATGCAAGGGCACACAGCGTCATTTTGGGCACCCAAATAGATGGCAGTGACCCGGTGAAGGCACGCAGAGCAGCTACGATTAATTGGATCCGGACAGGGGAAGAGCACAAGTTTTGCCTTATTTTTGTATCTTTGAAATGTGAGGGAAGAAGTGGAGGGATGAGCATATAAGAGGAATGAAGGTCGAGGTTTGGAGGGAAACCGAGGCTGTAAACTATGAAATTACATCATCTCAGGGCTTATCAGAATTCGTCAATTTGGTCTGTAAATCTCCTTCTAAACAATTTGCAGCCTCCAAATGATTAAGAGCCAGAATTTCCATATTTTCACCACCCTTTTTCTGAGCACGTAGGAAGCAACTATCTCAAAACAGAATGTCCCCAAACTTACTCCGGTGGAGCACATCTTAAGAGAATGTCTGAGAGAATCACACCATTCCTTATGGATACTAGGTAACATCCCAAAATAAACCAGGACTGGATGTAACAGCAATGTGGATCTGGGTTTAGAAAGCAAGGATTTTGTGCTACTTGATACGACGTGAGCCAGCACCGATACCGACTTCTGTGGAGGGAGAAGGGCAGGATGCAAAAGCCTTTCTGGAAGTGAATACAGCCACACCTACAGAGACAATACTCACCTAAAAATGCACTTATATGAGGGGATAGGTAGGTGTTTGCCTGTATTAAGACAGTAGTTTATTTTTTCATGCATCTTTGCCATGGAGCAAGGAAGGGAGAGCCAGGGCAGTACAGCCAGTTCTTCTCCAGTTCTCTTACACCAAAAGACACCGTTTGGGAGTCAGTGGACTCCCACATCTGCTTCTCAGCACACCTTCGTCTCTTAGTTGTACCATAGCGTATTATTAGATACTATCACTCCACCAAAGAGTTGCAATGATAGGAACGTATTAGTATGCTGTGAATTCAACAGCGGCCACAATAAATTGAGCTTTGATTTTGGACTTTGTTTTTTGAATTGGCCTTTATAAAGCCGGCCACAGAAAATTAAAGTTAATGCAAATTTCTTGTTACCCACTTTCAAGACAAAAGAACGCACAAGTCAGCCTTTGCTGAAGACATAGCTATTCTTTAACAGATAAGAGTCGCAAAACACAAAGCACGAGACTTCTACCCGGGCGACACAACCGCTCCAGACTGAGCGCTGCTACACGCAAGGAGAAGCGGGAGTGGAGGTATGGTGAGAGACAGCTCTTCTTCACAGGCATCACTCCGTCTCACGATTTCAAACCCCAACTGCATCAGGTTACTCAGTACCGAGACCTGCTCTGCCTTCCCTTCCCCATCGGAGCCCAACGCTCTGCCTTACAGCCGACCTCGCCACCACGGGACGAAAACAACAGCTTCCAGATTTCCCTGGCATTTTCAAAACAGGAACAAGAAATGGTAATTTACTCTCTTACCCTAAAGCAAAAAGGGATAAATTCAGGAACTAAAAGCGGGAGTATAGTACCGCGTGCGAGAAGTGGAAGAAAAGGAGAAACACTGCTATAGAACAAGGAAAGTCAGAATAAAAATAGAAAGGGAAATAATTTTCAGAGGTTTCCAAGGGTTAATTGAAGTGACATTTTAAAGAAACACCCAGCAGGGAAAATAAGCAGGAACAAAACCCCAGGAAGGCTCCAGTAGAGGAAAAGAGCTTGCACATACAACTTAAGATTTTCTTCTCCATGGTGACTTGGTTCCGTATACCAGCACTCAATTTCATCTATGTCTCAACAGCTCAGGTTCCAATTTTCAAACACAAAAGTCCCAAATTTAATGCAAGATAGTTACTTTAAATCACTATGAAAACAAAAAAAACCCAACCCAATCACTGGCCTAAAATTGATGGCTGTTACCAGATTATGTTGGTAGCCAAACAGCAGCATTAGAAACCAGGATGTTTGTAATCAGTTACGCATTTTAATAGTACAGATTACATAGCTCTTTCCACGCATCAGTGGAGAGTAACTAAGTTGATCAAAATTACAAAGAGAAATTATTTTCCTCCTTATTCAGACAAAAACACTAGCAAAAGCAGAGAACTCTGTGAAGTATCAGATGCCCAAACATGATTCTACAGATAAGTTTAGCTCAGTATTAACGTGAAAATAGAAACAAAGAGTACAACAAGAGTATAAGATATTAAAAAAACCCCACAAAGTTCATAAGGGAGCACACTAGTGAAAAGTTCGCAGGCAGCAGGACTTCTGAAAGAACATATGAGTAAGGAACTAGACGGTTGGGAGACATAGCAGGCAAAATTGGTGGTAATGGGTGCAAAGAGGAAAGCTAGAAATATTTAAAAAATATCTGATCACCATATTTGAAAAAGATAATTAAGCGCTTTCAAGCCAATTAGTAACTAATAGGAATGTTATACAGCATCTGCTAGGCGTAACATTTCGAGTTGGCACATCATATTAATTGGAGTCCAGTCCTAAATTAATCATTTAACGAGTTCTCCAATCCTGTGACCTTCAATTTTAATAAATTGGAAAACTACTAAAATTGCACAAGACTGAGAATAACAATATTATGCCAATAATCAAAAATAGCATACGTTTGCTATGTATAGGCCTGCGCAACTCGACGCTGATGTTGGGCAAAAATCCTCATACAACCTCTGATTGGAAAGGATGGTTCTGCAGCATGGCAGCAAAGGCCCACTCATCCCAGTGTCCTGTCTCTGACGGTGGCCAGTAACAGACACAGGGGGAAGCAGAAAAGCAAAGCAAATGCCTAACACTTCTTGTGGCACGTTCCACTAACAAAAGCAGAAAATCAGAAAAGAGATGAAAGCGACTCCAACGCTAATTTCATAGTTATACATCAATAAGGCTGTTTATAAAGCTACTGGGCGCACAGCAGGAGGCACACTCTGCCGAGAAAACTTTCTACCTGAATGAACAAATAGGTGAAGTGAAAGAGCAAATGATTCTCTAACAGGAGAAAGCCTAGGTAAATATTTGCATAGATAAGATGGTCAGAGGGACATTTTACTGTCAAGTTCTAAAATCTGAAATCTTGGATCGATTTTTCCAACCCTGCAGGTATGCATTCCTCTTCTGAGCATCCTCATCTTCAGCAGTGGGTTGGGTGACAGGAAGGAAGGAACACAAATCATACTTAAACCATCAGATCTTCAGGCTTTTAACCAGAATCTCCCCAGATCTGAGACTTTGAGAAGTCCTCCCTGCAAAGGCAGGGGAACGGGACTGCAATTTGACAGGACCAGCGCCACGAGCTAGGAGCTCTTTAGTGAGCCACGGCGAGATGTGTAGCTCTGCTTAAAAATGACAGCAGAGCTGGGGATGGCTACAAACCCACAGATATGCAATACCCTGAGAGAAAGCTACTCCTATCGTCAAATGTCTACCCAAAATCTACTCAAACTCACGGACACTTGTACCACCACCATACAGTCTTCAAATGAAAGTGCTACCAACTTGTGTTACCAAAGTGAAGCTTCCTACAGCAAAATCACCTGCCCTACAGTTGCCAGCTGGTTTTTTTGACTGCGCGTGCTCTGCACGATATGATGGGTAGGACCACATAAGACTGTATGATGACTTCCCTTGCCCTTGTATTACCTTTAGCAACACTCCAAGAACTTAAAAAAAAAAAAAAAAAACAACACTAAAGGCACTGAAAGAGAATGACAAGACAAAATGCATTATGTCTTCCCTTGCTTAAGCCTGAGGCTGGTACGGATTCTTTTTTAAGGAGTTTCTGGGTGGTTTTCCCAGCAAACCTACTCTTTCCAGAAGAGCCCTGCCATTCAGGCTCCTCACCACGATAAAAGTCTGTGTAATTTTAGGAGAAGACATGCCACTATAACGTTAAGAACATACACTGATGAGGCTGGGGAAGTTCAAAAGACTACCTTTGCAGATTTTTACCTTCCTGAAGGAAGACGGCGCAGCTTCTCAGGCATAAGGAGAAGTTCTGGAACTCATCGGGGAAGAACACACTGCTACCTAAGAGACACCGGAGCCCATTTCCTTGCTGCTAAAAAGGCAGTCAATGCAGCAAGTGAACAACAGTCTTCCCAGATTTACAGTCATCGTGGCCAGCTGGCAGGAAGCACAGAGGAGACAAGTGAAGTAGAACGTGCATGTAGAACCCCCCTTGTGTCTGGCGAAGCTGCTAAGGTCGTCTTCCTTGGGGGAACTCTCTGCCACCTGAATCTGCATGGACTCAGAGCACATCCTTTCCCTTGGTCAGGGGTATTTGAGGGAACTTAGGTTTACCTCCTTCCAAGCTGCCCGTTGGTTCGGGCAAAACCTGTAGGAATTTCGTTATCTTAAAACCTCCATCTCTAACATGTAGTTGAAATCAGACAATGGGTTGGAAACATTATCAAGGAAAGGATGAACAATCAGGAAGTCAGTCTAAATACAGATAGTCAGGAGTAGGGTAATACAACTAAACAGATGAAAATCTGTTCATTTGCTGGTTTTTCCCTCTAGAAATCATTTGCAGAAACCGTTGGCAGAGGCCCTGTAAGACAAGGAGACCTATTTGTTCAGGAAACAGTCACAAAATAATGCTCCTCACGGAGAACATGCCAAAACGAAGTCTTCCATAACAATAAATAACTCTTGTAGAATTGCAAACAGTGAGAAATACTGCAAAAGAAGTAAAAATAAGTACATATAATTAGCAGTTATAAGGGAGGCTTTTAAAGCCAACTGAGCTACAGTCACCTTTCCTCTCCCAGGTTAGAAGCCTGCAAAAGTAGTGAGCGACCTGACAATAAAGCCTCAGTATTACTGCCATGTGGAAAGAAAAGTCCTGTAATTGATGTTATTCCCACAAAAAGACATATTCCCACAAAAAGGCATGCACAAATGGGAAGCTATTGGGGCGAGGAATTAATGAAACTGGAGAAGTGATTAAAAAATGCTGTACAATTCCTCAAGGTCAAGTTTTGTTCAGAGGAAAAAAATCACCTGCACAAATATAGAAACAACTGCTGAGCAGCTGTTTTGTAGATAAGGATTTGGGGCAGAGGGGATCACAGACTGAGCACAAATTATAAATATCAAGTTGTCACAAACAAGGCAACTTCTATCCCTTGACAGGAGCACAAATTCCCCATCTATTCCGTTTCGATAAAGCCTTTGGGAAAGTCCATTTTTAGGTCAGGCTTTTCAAGAAAGAGAGAAACCACGACACAACTACAAGAAAAGACAGGCAGTAAATAAGGTGAGCTACAAGGGATGAAGGAGCTAACTCATCGAGTTGTTCCATCTGAACAGAGTAAAAAAAAAAGCTAAGATTGAGATATGATATATTTCTATTAAATATAGAAACAGTTTCAGCAAAGAAAGAGGAAACCTATCCTCCACATCTATGGTGAGTAGAAAAAAGTAACGGACTCAAACTGCAACAAGAAAAATCGACTTAGGCCATTAGAAGAACTTTTCTAAGCGGTAAACATAGTGAGCGCCAGCCTAAGGAAGTCATGTTGCCTCCTTTATTAGGAAGTAAAAGAAAAAAAAAAAAATCATCTCACAAGAATTATCCAGCAATAATGATGATGTTTTGACAGAAAGGGTCAAGACGATCTTTTGGAACCTTTCAGTCGTCTTCTCCTATGAAGACATCGAAGTACTGCAAGCTCTGCAGCAAGACCAGAAGCTAAAACATTAATCTGATCTTTTGCAGTACAAGGTCTTGATGAAGGAAATCTTTCCATCCTTGCTACTGTTATACAATCTCTCTGAGGGATATTATTCAGATTCCTACCAAAAAAAACCTACAAAACCTGCTGAAAGCCCATTAGGACAGCAGCATTCAAAAGCATTTATAAGTTAGAGACTGCCAGAATAAGGCACTATATTTAGTACTAACAGTTTTCTCTGTAGTACTGTGATAAAGTTCCTTCAAGAACAGTGGATCAGTCCTATGTGAATATTCTCAAGACAAATAAAGCCTGCTCAGCATCTTCCTCCCAGACTAGCGTCAGTCATGAAGCTATCAGTACTTTTGCTTCACAGTTTACCACTTTTTTTTTTCCCCCCTTTCTCCCAAGAGACTACTTCTGTTCCCCCGCTGCTAAATGCAGACCCTAGAAGAGTCCTCTTGATCTGTCTGAGGTATCACGACACAGAATTACTCATTTTGTGAAGAGTTATGACAACACTTTAAATAGTTACAATCACGAGTAACAGATTTTTGGTCCAGA